TCTGCTCTTGCCTTTTTGCTTTATTCTCTCCCTCCTTTCTTTTCAAGCTCCGTGTGTGTAACTGTGTAATTGATTTCTATATATAGCAATATACAAATCTTAGCACTACATGAATACAGATAATCTAACCTACAATCTGCATTGGACAGAAGTCTGGTCAGTTCCTCTGCACTTTCCAGGAATCGCAAAACACACACGCGCGCGCACACGGGATTCTCTATGTATGTGAATCAACATGATGTGTTGCACAACATGCAGTGCCAAACATATACAGCTAGAAATCCAGTCTCAAATCTCATATTCATACGATTTCATTTTTACAATCATGCTTTATTAAATGGAATTTGAAAGACAACCATGCTCAGTAACTCAACCATAAGATCATTACTATTATATTCTATTATAAAATGGATGTGTAGATCTATACCCATTATCTTAAATAATGTCTCTCCTTTTGTTTGGTATTGCACAAAATCTGAGGCACATTACATAGTCATTGACTCTCTTAGCAGTCTGGCAGTGAGCACAGGCTACACCATGAGACTACATAATACTATCAGCAGAGAACAAGTCCAGATGGAACAGAAGTTATGGGACCTCCTTAGGTACCCAACTTTTTTCTTCTTCTATTACCATAACAAAATGCCAGACATTATCCTAACTGACTCCATTTAGCTCAGCAGCCTTATACCGGGAATATAAACAGTCTTGAATGTCTAAATAATCCTCTGGCTTTTGTTTTTATCTGTAGCTATGACACACAAAACTTTGTGGAACTAATCTTCCATCCATGACCACCTAACACCTAAGTACTATGTGGCCTGAAGCAAGGGATGCAATGGTGCCTTTCACTTTTCCATGTGCAGAGCTGATGGACTGCCATTTAAATCTCATTTCAGTAAAAATAAAAAAGAGACTTGTGTCACTTTAAAACCAACACATTTCATTTGGCATTCACTTTTATGGAGTAGTCATGATTTCAACAGATTAAGTGGGTTGTAATCTACCACAATTAATGTCCAGTAAAATACACTAGCTTTGAAGGTACTCCAATATTCTTTACTGATTTCCTACAAGTGACTAACATAGTTAGGTAAAGATTCCCCTTGACCTTTATTCCAGACGTGTCCGACTCTAGGGCGTGATGCTCATCCCCGTTTCCAAGCCATAGATTTGTCTGAAGACAGTTTCCGTGGTCACGTGGCCAGCGCAACTAGGACTAACATAGTTATCCCTTCATATTTCAGCACTGGCAACATAGCTGCATCTTGCACTGCACCTGAGTACAGCAGGCTAGCTTCACAGCATGGAACAGACTACAGAGTAGACACAGGTCTGTCTGCCAATATTTTACCAATGATCCCCACCCCACAGCACCTGTTGCTTGAGATGGCTGCTGCTTAATGGCCAGGCTAGTCCTGTCCAACAATGTCAATGTTCTCTCTCTCTCTCTCTCTTGGATCAAGTCCTATGTTTTGGTAGGAGATTCTCTGATCAATACCACAGTCTACATCTTCCTTCTGATCAATGCACTCAAATGTCTGTTGTTCAATGCCCTTAAAAAAAAAAGCCAAACTCTGTATTCTGCCTTAAATACGTGAAGCCGCAGTCTAAAACTGCACAGATTTTTACTCCCGTCTCATAAGAAGTTCTGTTTGAGTCAGATATTTGTATATTACAAAAAGTTAGGGAAGTAAAATAAATTGCTTCCTTTATTTAATATACTGTATCAAGTTTTCAGAGACATGGGAATAACTATATCTTACAAGTATTCTTCCCTAAATGAAGGTGAGACAATCTGGTATAGTTTCAATTAGCTAACTTAACTAGGTACTCTTAAACATTATTATATAGCATACAGATATCTCCCTTTTTAAATGGGCGGTACATCATCAAGTCTACCTCTTTTTCCCCTCACGGTTCATTTTGAGAGGTACTGAATCGACAGTACTATAACACACATACATCAATGAATAATTTCCTGGACAGGTAAAGAAACTCCTTTAAATACACTTTGTTTAAAAAAACCAGAGAACAAGAGAGAGAGAGAATGAGAAAAAGAATATGTGTGTGAGAGAGTATGAGTGAGGGAAGGAGGGGCTATATATTCAGTCAAACAGTTTGATGTAGTGCATTCAGGTTCACTGAAACATTTTCCCCCTTGGGGAAATAGATAGTAGCTTTCATAGTCAATAGAGTTTAACCATTCTTATACTTCATGAAGCCTTCTACAAATGCCTTAAAAACAAAGCCATTGGGGTACATTAGCCACAAACCACAATGGAACAAAATTGCAGTCAGTTAGAACTGAAGAGGTCTGAAGAGGTTAACAGTTTCTTAATTTTACAGTTTATTTCCACATGACTGAGAATGAGAAACATTTAAAATAATATATTCTACCAATCACTCTCAACAGAGGATGTTTTTCACAAACATTTCTATATCTAACCTTTATCTGTTTGTTATCAAAACAAATAAACTACAGTTTTGATGGGATTAATAAGCAAAAATTAATTATAGCTGGCTGGTCTGTTTTCTAAAATGCTACCTTGCATTAAAGAAAGCCTACAGAAAAAAATTGATTTGTTTAAAATTTGGTGCTGGAGCTTTGCAGATCCCCTGGATTGCCAAAAAGATGAACAAGTGAATCCTAAACCGAATCAAGCATGAACTATCTCTGGAGGCAAAAATGATGAAACAGAGGGTGTCCTGCTTTGGGTACATCATGGGAAGACAGGATTTTCTGGAAACGATAATGATGCTGGGCAAGGTGGAAGGCAGCAGGAAAAGAGGTAGGCCAAATACGAGTTGGATTGACTCCCTAAAGGAATCCACAGGCATGAGTTGACACATTTTGGAGATCTCTCATTCATGACTTGACAGCATGTATGAATCACCATTTGTTGTTGTTGTTTAGTCGTCAAGTCGTGTCCGACTCTTCGTGACCTCATGGACGACAGCATGCCAGGCCCTCCTGTCTTCCAGTGCCTCCCAGAGTTTGGTCAAATTCATGTTGGTAGCTTTGATGACACTGTCCAACCATCTTGTCCACACAAGGGATCACCATTACCTTACTTCTAATATGATGTTATTAGTGGTGGTGGGGGGGGATTATATGTTAAAAGAGGTAATTCCTTTACCAGTGAATGGTAGATTTTGTTTATTAAATAAGTCATATTTTGTTCTTTTCAGTATGTCAAGGTCTGAATAATATGCAACATTTACTTCAATACAACTTATTAATTTATTAGATCTGTTAAGAGGCAGATTATTAATCAATGATAAATTATTTCACTGGTCAGTAGCCCTGATTCTGTTTAAACCACATAAACAGGATAATTTTTTCCTCATTACTGCACTCATCTGAAGCTGCAGTGACGTTGCCAGAGGTTGTTATAAGTACTAATTTGATTAGCTGGACTATATATTGGTCCTAGACAGCCAAATAAATAAATACTGTAAATAAATAAATGGCAGGTGGAAAAGATGTGGCATAAACTGCCAACCATCTTGATATAACAATGCAAAATATCAATGCAAGTAGCTTGCAACGGGTAAGAAGAATAACTCTACTAACGATAAATAATGATGCCAAGAGCCTTGTCTTTCTAAAAGCTCATGTTCAACAGCCACCAACCAGTTCTTCACAGCAAAATAAGGTAAAGTCCTACTAAAAGCCCCCAAATAAGCACTTCAACTTCCTCTGTCAACCTCTGCTGAATTCCACCTCTCTTCTCATACAGCATTGTGGAGAATTAATCAAAAAGGAACAGCAAAGAGTACAACATTATCCAAAATATGCATTGCAGCCTGTTTTCAACAAGCAAGAACAAGCACTCCATATGTTGGTTATATTGTACCAGAACACTTCAATCTTTCCTTGTAGTTTACTTTTTCTTTCCTCTTAAAGTGCTCCAACACTTAATCTGTATAGCAAGGGAGCATTCAAGCCTATATGCCCCGACTAACCCTGTCCCATCTAACAGTTCAATTTAATGTGACAGCTTTTTTGGGGGAAAAAATCTTATACTATAAAAGAATGATGAGTTCATACACAAGGAAAGTTGTGCCTCCTATCCCTCGTGTAGTCACAGGCACCATCCAATGGGGACTGTGACATCTGCCCAGTCGCCTGCCATATAGCACTCCAAATTACAAAAGCACCTGCAAGATAGGAAAGAATCACACCTTCCTAGCATCACGCAGTGTGAATTGTGAAAAGAAGCCTCTACAAATCTTTCTTAAGAGATAAAAGACACCCGAATCTCACCACACGACTGAGTATCTGCACAGCAGCTCTGTAGTTGGAATGTTAAACACACAGACACACAGAGAGAGAGAGAGATACACACACCCCACATAAATATCTACAAAGAGAGGCCTTTCTGCCAGGTGAACTTTCCAGGTTTTCGACATGCCCCCACAGAGAGACACTCTTGCAGCCCTCCATCAGCTCCTTCTCGTTCCCCACCCCGCCCCCTTGTAGTAACCCGATTTGCCCGGGATCAATCCTTTGCCCGTAAACAACTTCTCGTTATGGGAGCGCTCCCTGAGCAACGGGAGGCACACACTCTTGCAGCCCTCCATCAGCTCCTTCTCGTTCCCCACCCCGCCCCCTTGTAGTAACCCGATTTGCCCGGGATCAATCCTTTGCCCGTAAACAACTTCTCGTTATGGGAGCGCTCCCTGAGCAAAAATGCATGCATGCCTCTGTACGTGCGTGTGTGTGTGTGTGTGGAAAAAGGAAGACACGGGCATATAAGGACGGGAACAGGGTGGCACAATAGAGCGTGGAGGGTGGGAAGGGGGGTATCAAT